CAACCTACTAGCAATGGCCTCCAACCTACTAGCAATGGCCTCCAACCCAATAGCAATGGCCTCCAACCTAATAGCGATGGCCTCCAACCTAATAGCGATGACCTCCAACCTACTAGCGATGGCCTCCAACCTACTAGCAATGGCCTCCAACCTACTAGCAATCGCCTCCAACCTAATAGCGATGGCCTCCAACCTAATAGCGATGACCTCCAACCTACTAGCAATGGCCTCCAACCTAATAGCGATGACCTCCAACCTCCTAGCAATGGCCTCCAACCTACTAGCAATGCCCTCCAACCTACTAGCAATGGCCTCCAACCTAATAGCGATGACCTCCAACCTCCCAGCCATGGCCTCCAACCTAATAGCCATGACCTCCAATCTCCTATCCTAATTAATAGCGATGATTCCAATACTAGCAAAGTCCTCCAACCTACTAGCAGTTACTAGCACAATGGCCTCCAACCTAATAGCAATTGCCTCCAACCTGATAACGATGGCCTCCAACCTATTAGCGATAACCTCCAACCTACTAGCAATGGCCTCCAACCTACTAGCAATGTCCTTCAACCTAATAGCGATGGCCTCCAACCTATTAGCGATGACCTCCAACCTACTAGCAATGGCCTCCAACCTACTAGCAATGTCCTTCAACCTAATAGCGATGGCCTCCAACCTAATAGCGATGGCCTCCAACCTAATAGCGATGACCTCCAACCTACTAGCAATTGCCTCCAACCTACTAGCAATGGCCTCCAACCTAATAGCGATGACCTCAAATCTACTACCAATGGCCTCCAAGCTAATAGCGATGGCCTCAAACCTAATAACGATGACCTCCAACCTACTATAGCAATGGCCTCCAACCTAATAGCGACGGCCTCCAACCTAATAGCGATGACCTCCAACCTACTAGCAATGGCCTGCAACCCACTGGAAATTGCCTAATAGCAATGACCTCCAACCTACTAGCAATGGCCTCGAGCAATGGCCTCCAACCTAATAGCGATGACCTCCAACCTACTAGCAATGGCCTCCAACCTACTAGCAATGACCTCCAACCTGCCAGCGATTGCCTTCAATCTAATTACTAGGATGGCCTCCAACCCTTCAACCTACCAGCAATGGCCTCAAAACTAATGGCGATGACCTCCAACCTACTAGCGATGACCTCCAACCTACTAGCAATGACCTCCAACCGAATAGCGATGTCCTCCAACCTACTAGCAATGGCCTCCAACCTAATAGCGATGACCTCCAACCTCCTAGCAATGGCCTCCAGCCTACTACTAGCAATGCCCTCCAACCTGATAGCGAGGACCTTTAACCTACTAGCAATGGCCTCTAACCTACTAGCAATGGCCTCTAACCGAATAGCGATGATCTCCAACCTACCAGCAATGGCCTCCAACCTACTAGGGATGGTCTCCAACCCACTAGGGATGGCCTTCAACCCAATAGCGATAACTTCATTCTATTAGCGATGACCGCCAACCTACCAGCAATGGCCTCCAACCTACTAGCGATGGCCTCCAACCTAATAGCGATGACCTCCAACCTACTACAATGACCTCCAACTACCAGCGATGACCTCCAACCTACTAGCGATGACCTCCAACCTGCTAGCAATTGCCTCCAACCTACTTCTAGCAAAGGCCTCCAACCTAATAGGGATGACCTCCAACCTACTAGCGATGGCCTCCAACCTGCCAACCTACTAGCAATTGAGTCAATGGGGATGGCCTCCAACCTACTAGGGATTGCCTCCAACCTACTATGGCTTCCAACCTAATAGCAATGACCTCCAACCTAATTAATAGTGATGACCTCCAACCTACCAGCAATAACCTCCAACCTACTAGCGATGACCTCCAACCTACCAGCGATGGCCTCCAACCTACTAGAGATGGCCTCCAACCTACTGGCGATGACCTCCAGCCTAATAGCGATGACCTCCAACCTACTAGGGATGGCCTCCAACCCGTCAATTCAACCTACTAGCAATGGCCTCCAACCTAATAGCGATGACCTTCAACCTACCATTGATGGTCTCCAACCTACTAGGGATGGCCTTTAACCCTTCAACCTACTATCAATGGTCTCCTACCTAATAGCGATGACCTCCAACCTAATGGCGATGACCTCCAACCTCTAACCTGCCAGCGATGGCCTCCAACCTACTAAGGATTGCCTAGCGATGACCTCCAACCTACCAGCGATGGCCTTCAACCTACTGGGGATGGCCTAGCGACGACCTCCAACCTAATAGCAATGACCTCCAAGCTAATCCCGATGACCTCCAACCTAATAGCGATGCCCTCCAGCCTAATAGCGATGACCCCC